GCTCAGTCATCACACACATTCCAATTAGTACTGGCCAGGGATGCGGAGCCGGAGCCGGAGCCGGAGCCGGAGCCGTGAAACAATATAGCCCGGAGCCGGAGCCGAAGCCGGAGCCGTCAAAAAAGGGGGCGACTCCGGCTCCTTTTCTTAAGAGGAAACAATTATTTACCTAGTTCGGTTTGACAGTACAAGGCGTAAAACAATGTGGTATTCAAAATAGCCTTGTTATACGAATACAGAAGCAACGTGTACCAATCCCATCGCCTTTTTTCTTCTGCACCCGTATTTAATTGATCGCATAGGGGATGTACTGAGTAGAAGCCGGAGCCGGATCATTTTGCTTGGAGCCGGAGCCGGAGCCGCCATGACATTTCACCCGGAGCCGGAGCCGATTTTTTCTCCGGAGTCGGAGCCGGAGCCGGAGCCGTCTGAAATTTCCACGGCTCCGCATCCCTGGTACTGGCTACCTTTTGGTTTGTTCCTTACAATGTAGGTACCTACCAAGTTTAAGTGTGGTTGACCCAGCCACTGTTAAGATTAGAAATGGTACCTGCACTTCAGGAACACCCTAATTCAGACATGAAACTGCAGTGCATTTTAAAACCAATTTCCAGCATGATTGGCTCATTTATTGGGGCATGACAGAACAAAGACACCAAAGTTGATGCATTGTTTAGTGCCTTGATGGTCAACCAAACATCTTAACTATTCTGGTGTTTTGTATGAAGGATGAGAGTGCATCAGATAAAGACTGCATTCAAATAAGATCTGTGGATAATTACATGTAAGGTTATCAAAAGCTTGACCAATGACAATGGTTGGCTGTTCATGCCAAACATTTTCTTTTGATTTATGAAGACTCCATGCTTGCTTATAATGGCAACATTTACAAATTCATTCAATTTCTTACTTATTTTTGTGGGTGCAAAATGACTTTAGTAGTTGGCACACACTAAAGCCCGAATTAACAAACAATTATGTATTTTTTAAACTAATTTTGATGTGCGAGACAGAAACTAAACCAGTTAAACATTCATGTCACTGACAAACGTGTGTTGTTGGCAGGACGCGGAGGAGCGGCGGGAGCCAAGTTCCGGACCTCGCTGGCTTTGCCAGTGGGGGCCGTGATGAACTGCGCCGACAACACTGGTGAGTTTCGCCGCCCCCCCCCCCCCCTCCTGCGGCATCGAGTGGGGTCGGAGCCGGGAGGTCAGGTCCAGGACGAGGGGGCAGCACATTATTAGCAGCAGTGCAGGTGCCCTTCCACACTGTTGTCGGATATGTGCAACATTAATGTTCCCAATTAATATCGGCAGACACGACCAATCTGTTGTAGCTTTTTGGGATCAACACTCAATTTACCAATGCAGTTATGCTATTTTATTCATGTTCACACATTTACCCTGGTTTGATTACCATTATCAGACATTTTTCTGTTGCATACGTATATGATATTTCCACTTGTAGGTAATCAGTTCAGGGTATTGCTGTGAAGAGTGTGTGGTTTATGTGGGTTGTGTAGGTTAAGCTATGTGTTGTGTGAGTTGACAGTGTGCGGGTTCTCTGCCAGGCGCCAAGAACCTGTACGTGATCGCCGTGTACGCCATCGGCGGCCGCCTGAACCGACTGCCCTCGGCCGGCGTCGGGGACATGTTCGTGGCCTGCGTCAAAAAGGGAAAGCCAGAACTCCGCAAAAAGGGTGAGTGGGCGTCGGGCTAGCTTGCAACTGATGTTTGATGGGTGAATGACGATTTGTCGACTCATGGGCACTGACGTGTTGGGAACCTTAGCGTGGGGTGAGTGTGTTTTGGATACCCACCCAGAAGTTTTTCTCTTTAAAAATGGCTGCCCTCAACTCTAACATCTTAGCAAACCAGTAAAACGCCTTTTGGGGCGACCAACGGACCGAGCGAGAGGTTGGGCCTTGCACGTGCGAAATGGCAATGGGGTACCTCCAACTAACTTGTGCACTGCACCCTACTAACCGGTCTTTAGCGATGTGCCAAATTTGAGAACAATCAGCCCAGCCGTTCTCGAGATCTGGAAGCGGCACCCTACTAACTGGTCCCTAACCGTGTACCAAATTTGAGCGCCATCGGTCCAACCGTTCTCGAGATCTGGGAACGACCCCTGCACGTGCGCACGTGCAGCAGCACCCCCACTGTGGCACATGGATATGCATTGCCTAGTGGGTGCCTACTGCCTACCTACATGCCAACTTTCAGCGCAATGGGCCCAGTAGTTACCGAGACATTGCAGTTGTTACAAAACTGACACCTCTTCGTTTTGCACGTGGCACGTGCATAAGGGGTCACCCACATGCATCGGGAATAGTCCAATACTTGGTAGAAGGAATGAAGCTACCCTACAACAAAAATTACCGCATGTAAATCGGTCAAGTGGTTGCTTAGATATAAGCCTCGTAAAAGCGTCCGCACGGCCGGCCGGCCGGCCGCTCATACTCAGAAATTTCCGTTAATCTATAACGAGACTCCGCTCGCTTCGCTCGCTCCGTAATGAGCTTCAGGGGTCTGTCAAATGTTCTTCAATGCTTTAGCTCTACCATTCTTACAAGTTATTCCTCCATTTGTTACCAAAATATCGATGCAGGGAAAATTTGGCATTTGTTGGTGTCTGATGATACTACCTACGTGAATTATATTGTCCGACCTTTCAACTTAGCTTACCTCCGGTCGCTACTGGGCTGAGAGACGAGTTAGGTGGGAATACTTAGACGCCCAATCCCTGGCACTGCGTGGAATCATTGACCTCGAGTTGGGCGAGGAACGACATGCATATTGACACATTACCTAATGTGTCAATGTTATATGCAACCTTAGGGCTTAGTCTGCACCAGCAATATCGAACAGCACTTGTTTGAGCCGACTTTGGAACGTTTCCCATTGCCGGTATAGATATGTGCTAGATCAATGGCGTGTCATTCACTGGGATCCGGTGGCTCTGCTGCTTTCCACGACACGAGACGCCGACAGATGTGTAACCACCATGCATCAGCTGCTGAGGACCCTAGTGTTTGCCTTTTCAGATTTAGATTGACTGGTCATGAGTGTCTTGGCATAGGTTTTTACTTATCCACCTACGTTGCCTGTTTGCAAATTAAGCCCGAGTTGTACGCATTGTTAGCATTAGCCAGTTGCGACAATGTATGGCTCTATCACTGTCTTACCGTCTCCCCCGGTCCGCAGTAATGCAGGCGGTGGTGGTCCGGCAGCGGAAGAGCATCCGCAGGAAGGACGGCACCATCATCTATTTCGAGGACAACGCGGGCGTCATCGTCAACAACAAGGGCGAGATGAAGGGTGAGTCACCGCGCGCGGCGCGAGAGGTGGCGGCTCCAGTCCACCCATCACCGCTGACCGCTCCTCTGGGGCTGAGGACAGTCGTGAGTTGCCCGAGACTAAGCACTGGTGGAGTTGGCGCACCGCTTATCTCAACATTCTTTCAGCATGAATGTTCAGTACCTATCACATTCATTTTCAGCATCGGGTGGGGTCGGAGCCGGTAGGTCAGGTCCGGGACTAGGGGGCAGCACATAATTAGCAGCAGTGCAGGTGCCCTTCCTCACTGTTGTCGGATATGTGCAACATTAATCAAATGTTCCCAACTAATATCGGCAGACATGACTAGTCTGTTGTTGCTTGTTGGGATCAACATTCAACACATGCTGCTATTAATGCATGCACGTTAATGCTTTTCAGTATTCTCATTAATGCTTTTCAGTTTTCTCTGTCTGGACCTTCTGCGTGACAGTAGTCGTCCTGTGTGAAGTGCTTTTTATGGGGCCCGACAGCGACCATTCTCCATGACAAATAAGGGATTGGGCATATATGATAAATTTATTTTTTGTACATTTTCACTAGTCCCGTTACTATTGTCAATATCCTACATTGGGTTCCGCAGAGGATGTAAAGGGACGGTGCGGTGGCGACTCGGGCACTCGTTGACGGTCTATTTGACGTTGACGGGTTTGTCGTTTTTTTGCGATGGGTACGTCCGTGCTGATTGGCGTCTCCCTGTGTGCCGGCAGGATCGGCCGTGACAGGCCCCGTCTCCAAGGAGTGCGCCGACCTCTGGCCCAGGATCGCCAGCAACGCCAGCAGTGTCCAATAGCCTGTTCGACCATCACACGATACACAAATAAACAGAAAAATACCATACCGTGAGTTTGCAGAGTCGGATATTAGGCATTAGCAAACAGAAAACAGACGAACAGCACTTCTTACATGCGTAACTGGGTCTTCTCATTTCGGAATTCAGAAATGCTGGAAGTTATGGGCGCCAGACGACAGCCGTTGTGATTCTCCTAGGCGCATCACCTCACAATTATCAGGCAACACCCAGCCAGGCGTTCCGTTTTCAGTCCTCAGCGCAGCGCAGCAGCGCAGCTCAGCAGCGCAGCTGAGGCAGCAGGTTGCCAACTTCCCAACTGCATCTCTTAAAAGTTGGTACTAGTGATGTCAGTTACAGAAAATCGAAATACCGATACCAAACCAAATACCAACCAAAACCGTGGGGAAACACCGAAACCAAACCAACTTGAGAACATGAGGGAAATACCAACTTTTTACCAATTTCTTAGCTTTTTATACCTTAGTGAGGGTTCATGATACCGACAAAATACCAAAAATATTAGGATTGAAAAACCAAATACCAAGTTGTTATCGGTTTGGTATCGGTATACCAAAAAGTTGGTATCCGATTGACATCTCTAGTTGGTACCGATTAGGTTTCGGGCATAGAACGGCGTCCACCACCTCTGCGTGAGCCAAACACAAAATGCGTCCTGGTGCTACCTACTATAATTCCAATGTTTTGTCAGATGCCGTCGCAGCCGGTCTCGACTCATTTTATCCTTCTGTGTGGGATTTTGAACCAGCATTGGACAAATAGCCTTCCATGGCTAAAAGCGCATCGGTCCCTCTGAGCATCAATTAGCGCCTCACCAGGCTAATCCATGTTACGTTTGCACCAGCTGCACGTATTGCACATTTTGTTTTATTATTTGCACAGTTCATTGTGTGAACACTTTCCGATAAATCTACATTGCGTCTCCAAACACTCGCATAGCTGGCAGACGAGCTGTAATTGCAGTCGGGGAAGAATCGACTACTCGGTCAATTCGATGTCAGACCTATCACACAATGGTATCACACGGAGCCGAACCCTTAAGTACGGCATATTACCACACAGCTTTGCCACTCCATCCCTGAAAGCTGCGCCGTCAGACGTTCAAGGCACAGCATTAGCCTTCGATCTTCTCAGCCGGCAGAAAAATGGAGAACACTCATCCTAGCCTCGCTGGCGCCCTCTGCTCGATCGACTCCCAGGCACACCACTGGGGGCATGGCTGGCGGCCGACTCACGTGCGAGTTCACGTCGCTTTGTGACGGAAGTCAATCTGGCCGTCCTCCGTCACCTTTCCACCGCCCCTCCCCGGTCACAGTCCCCCAAACACTCTGCCCTGGCCCTCAGGCGGCGGGCTCTGGGGCCACCCGCAGTCGGCGCGTCTCCGAGTGTCTCCGCACGGTCACCACCAGCTGGTCGGACCCGTCCAGCAGGCGGTACACGTCCGCTGCCGCCCGGATCGGCTGGTCGTTTATGTGCGTGATCACATCGCCCGGCTTCAGGCCGCACCTGCCGGAACGGGCGGAATGGTGTGTCAGTCATACAGCGGCCCGACAGCGTGCGTTATCCGCGGAGCGAGCTTGAATACATGGACGACTCGCAGCAGACATTCACATTCAATCACTCTCAGGCTTCAGTACGAACCTGCCAGCGGGATCAATGACTGTCGATGCATGATTTTAGGGGCCATTTTATACATCAAATAGCGTGCGCTCATCTCAACCCCGGCTGGTGGTCATGCTCCCTATTACCACCCCCTTCCACCGCGCCGGTTCGGTTCAACTGCGTGGTACGACTCACGCATGTGCCGGAGAGCCTACGACCAGTTTCCAGACGAGCACGCCGTGCGTCAGGTCCTGCGGGAAGTCTGGCTGGCGCAGCATCAGCTCCTGGATGATGGCCGGCGTCAGCGTCAGCATGGTGATGCCCAGGTACCGCCGGCCGCCGGGTGACAGCGCCGGACGCTGCCCTGTACACGGGAGATTGTGGCAGGCGGTCAGAACTCGTGTCAGGGACGACGAATTACTTGTTGAGACGAATTACGCGCTGCTCTAAGGTCGAAACTCTAAATGCGTTCCAAAAAAAAGTTACCATAACACAGCGAATCCTTCATCTCTCAGTTGACTGTCCTGCCCCCCGGCCGGCTGGTCGTCCGGACTCACTGATTTTGCCCTCGTCCGCCCTGGCCAGGAACAGCTTGGCGTAGTCGATCGGAATGGCGAACGATATGCCGGAGGTGACCTTCATGGCGTTGATGCCGATCACCTCGCCGTCGAGGTTCACCAGCGGCCCGCCAGAGTTGCCGAACTGGGAGTCAGAGACACCGGTCAGACATCTATTTTATTTTTATGAACTACCAAACACTTCCGACTGGCAAATCGTCCATAATCATCAAATATCTGCGAGTTATATCTGTGTGTCCATGACAGCAAAATGGTGTTCTGATGTTCATGTGAACGCAATATTTAGCTGCATCCTGGACAAAACAATGCCCAATAAACGTTCACCAGCTAGCAAATGGCAATATTTACCTAGCTGTTGCCATAGTCGGCAAACGATTCCTATCGAGGTTAAACGTAAACCACACATTTTCTGACCGCCTCCCACCAGAAGAACGCCCAACGAACGGTGTGTGCTACGTACCGTGATGGCGGCGTCCGTCTGAATGTACTGCATGTCCTTCCCGTGGAGACCGAGCTCGGCACTGGGCCGGTTCACCGCCGATACAACACCTGCCGAACCAACGAACGGGCGAGGAGTGTGTCAGAAGTAGAGATGTCAATCGGATACCAAATGTTTGGTATACCGATACCAAACCGATACCAACTTGGTATTTGGTATTTCAATCGTAATGTGTTTGGTATTTTGTTGGTATCATGAACCCTCACTAATGTATAAGAGGCTAAGAAATCGGTATAAAGTTGGTATTTCCCTCATTTCCCAAGTTGGTTTGGTTTCGGTATTTCCCCACGGTTTTGGTTGGTATTTGGTTTGGTATCGGTATTCCGATTTTCCGTAATTGACACCACTAGTCAGAAGCGATATTGGCACATAGCGCACTGAGGTGTCAACGAACCAGCGCTGACGGTAAACACTTCTAACCCCGTATCATTTCTAGAGAAGCGCTCAGACGCGCTGGCCTTTGAGATCGATGTGGAGGCATTGGAGTGGTGCTCCTTGGTCGCCTATCATGTCACTGACCTGCCGTGATGGTGTTGGAGAGGCCGAGCGGCGAGCCCAGGGCCACCACCCACTCCCCCAGACGCAGGTCGTTCGAGACGCCCAGCCTCAGCGTCGGAAGGTTCTTCTGCAGGTCGATAAAAACAACACGTGAGTGGGACGAGAGGCGAAACAAAACACATCAATGATGCTAGGTATTGCGCCACTATTTAGTATCCGCAAATGTAGAAGCAACGTAGTTTCATGCTACCATTGCAGACATAGCAAAGACTACGCGAAACAACGCATGCAGCATATAAACACCAACCAATAAAAAAAGATCTGAAGCACCAAAACAACGTGTGGGTTATGGGTATGAATATTCCACTGAGACACTTCGCACTTACCGCCGGGATCCGGACGGTGGCCAGGTCTGAGCCGATATCCACCGACTCGACGGTGCCCTTGAACGTTCTGCCATCGTGCAGTCGCACCTAGCAAGAACAAAACACCGGTAAATAGTGATAATTGAACAGCACAATACACTGAAACAATACGGCATTAATAGCGCGACAGGAAACATAACTGTTGCATGAACAAGAACACAAAACTGACAAGGAAACGTTATTAAGTAGCAATGTCTGTGCAATGGGTAAGATGGCGCCACCGCACCTCGTGAGGGAGCTGCGCCGTCGGAGCCGTGCGGACAGCTCTTGCCGACAGCGGAAACCACCCTCTCACCTGGACGGTACTGTGAGGCGTGTTAACCACGACATGGGCGTTCGTCATGATGAGGCCGTCCGAGTTGACGATGAAACCGGAGCCGTTGGAGGCGGTGGCCGGACCACCGAACATCCCTCTCCTGAGGGTGGAACACTGTCACTACTGATGGCTAACAAAAGTTTCGACCATACCCCAGATGTGAAACCGAAGTGATAACATAACGGCCAAGGACTTCGTGAGATGTGACCAGCCTGTGCTCTCGCTCAATCACGCCGATTCAAGTACAGCTCACTGCTCCCATCTACCAGCAACTGTCTGGTCTGGTATGGTTCTCACTTCTCACCGTCGCATATCCTTGATCTCGATGTAGACGAGCGCCGGCGCCGTCTTGTCCACCACGTCAGCGATGAAGCTGTACTGTTGGCGCCGGGAGGAAGCCGGGGCGCCGCCCTTCCCGGCCGTGTCGTTCGGGTCCGTGCCCAGACCCTTGGCGGCGGAGACAGACGGCAGGAGGGCGGCCAGCAGCCGGCGCAGCGGGCCCGGCGGCGCCGGATCCGACCGCTCGCCGGACCGCTCCGAGAGGCCGACCAGCAGCGCGGCCAGTCCGCCGCCGGCGGCGCTCAGGGAGGCCTGCCGTCTGGACCCACTGTCCCGCCCACCATCAGAGCGCCGATCTCGACCCGAGGCGACACAGCGCACCTGGAAGTGGCCATCAACAGCTGCAAGGGGCCGGGTGACCGGCGGCGCCCTCTGCAGCACAGTTCTGCCCAGCCGGCAGACCGCTGAGCCCCAGACTGCAGCCATCAATGGTCCTGCACTGCTGGGAACGAATAGAATGATGAAGTACAGGTGGCTGCCAATGGCATCAGCCTTATAATCATCAAAGTCTTTCTATGGATAAGTAAGAATGGCTGCATTCAGCTGTCAGCATCCATGGCAGATTAGATAATGCATATGGGAATGATGAACTACTTATCACAAATTACAGTGTTTTAGGTATGTTGATGACACCCAATGCGGTATTAGTAGACCAGACGTCACACGAAGGTTTTCCAACCAAGGAGAGGCGCTGTAGGTTTGTAGGTTGTAGGGTAGGTTTGTAGGTTTGTAGGTTGTAGGTTAGGTTAGGTCAGGTTAGGTTAGGTTTGTTTAGCTTTTGTTAGAAAGAAGTACCTCCAGGGACAGGACCAGGCATAGCGCCTCTCCTTGGTTGAAAAACCTTCGAGTGACGTCTGCTCTACTAATACCCCCAATGCTTACCTACAGTTCATGAGGCCTTAAAATAGCTGCAAATGTCACTTTGGTTCCTGATGGTTCACCAAATCATTGAAAAATATATTAGAAAAATAATCAGAACAGACCAGACCAAGACCAAACTGAAACTTACAACACCTAGCTTAACATATTATATCTTAACACCTGTCTTGTACCTATCTAGCCTTGCCGTGATTCAGTTAATAACAATAAAAGGAATAGAGGGTATACCAAAATACTACATATTATTAAAAAAAAAAATAAAGATACAACAAGACACACCATAGACTTCTTCTCAAGTGAGATATTTCCAAGGATTCCATGACGGTTTTTCGTCCAGCAGATTTTCGTCGGACAATTTTTCGTCCGCAGATTTTCGTCCGACTTTTTTTCGTCTCGCATTTTTTCGTCTGTACATTTTTTCGTCTGTGCATTTTTTCGTCTGTTCATTTTTTCGTCTGTACATTTTTTCGTCCGGACATTTTTTCGTTCGTATATTTTTTCGTCCGTGCGTTTTTTCGTCCGGACATTTTTTCGTCTACAATTTTAACGTAATCTAACCTAACCTAACCTAACCTAACCTAACCTAACCTAACCTAACCTAACCTTACCTAACCTTACCTACTGATGTTTGCCTACCGGGGGATAAGGAAAAAGTTACTTGCATGAATAGATTGCAAGCAATGGTAAGTCAAATATTTTTAGGTTAAGTGGTTATGCATCAGGCTTCAGGCCTTCGGCCTGAAGCCAGATACACAACCACTTAACCTAAAAATATTTGACTTACCATTGCCTGTAATCTCTCCTAAGGCATTGCCTTCGGCACTGCACTGCTTCGCCCCGAGTATTATTATGACGTCATTTGCCTCACAGTTGAATAGCATTGTAGTATGTTTTCACTCAACCTTGGGTGCACAGACGTAAAATTTATTGAACGAAAAAATGTCCGGACGAAAATATGTACAGACGAAAAAATATACGAACGAAAAAATGTCCGGACGAAAAAATGTACAGACGAAAAAATGTACAGACGAAAAAATGCACAGACGAAAAAATGTACAGACGAAAAAATGCGAGACGAAAAAAAGTCGGACGAATATCTGCGGACGAAAAACTGTCCGACGAAAAAATGTCAGACGAAATTTTGTCCGGACACGTTTCCAAGGCCGAGATATTTCTCTCTCAGTCAAGCATCAAGTATCAAGTCTCAAGATCAAACTGCAACAAACATTTGAAAATTACGTCACCAAAAGCGAAAAGAAGTCTTGAGAATGTGAAATAAGTCGAGAAAATTATGATAGCTCAACTTTAATGTATGTGACTGAAAATATTATCACAAAAGTACTTGGTAATTAATCACCTTTACGAGAAGAATAAATTGCAAATCACTCATTTTTCTTCAATCTTGCTCCCAGCAGAAAATTGGATTCATGACGTCATCAAAACAATCAAAAAAGAGTATTCAATATTTCAATAAAGCAGTAACACTGCGACAGAAATCGCGCGGCTGATACAAAGGCTGCAGTAGGATGAATTTGGATGGATTTATTTTTGTTGAGTTCAAGTTGATTGTTGTTGAGCAATTCAAATTGTTGTGGTTTGTGTATTGGTGGCTATGGCAATTTCGGCTGGATATCCTGGAAGACATTGGAGAGGCCAAATTCAATAAGGGCCATATTTATTAGGTAGGGGAGATAGGATAGGGGTCAATTGTAACATTTTTTTTTGCATTTTATCACCTCATCATTTTATGACTTTATCATCTTATGATCTAGTGCAAACATATTTGCAGTTATAAAGCTCTTTCTTTTATTTTCAGAAACAATTATATTTTTGTCGCCTGTACACCAAAAATATTTCCAAAATAGCATCTTTTGGACGACGGTGAAAACAGGGCGCCTGGGGCGATTTGATCAAGGTTCGTGAAATTTACACGTGACGTTTGGCATATCAGAAGGCCCTTGGAGCGGGAGAAGTTCCAAATGTCACGTGACTAATATGCCCTCCGGCGCCCTGTTTTCACCGGCGTCTCATCTTTTTAGGTCAAAATTGTGGTCCAAAAAGTCAGTTTAGGTTTCAGCTGTTACAATTCACCCCAGTTAAGGTACGGGTTCAAAGGTAACATCACCCGGGGACAAAGGTAACATGTTACTTACAGCCTACAGGCTACGGAAATGCAATATTTTCAAAAACTTTGATTTGATGAAGTGTAACTCATTTTCATATCCTCAGACATGGTAGGTAGGTACTGTTCTTTTCAGGAAAAAAAAACTCTTTAAACCTCGCTTTTATACAGGGATTGGGATTGAATGGACCTCTTCTCCCTCAGGTTTTTGCAAATAAATTTAGTAAAAAGCTGCCAATTGCGACAAAACTTACAGTTCTCTTAATTCTAGCAATGTTTCACCTGTCTTGAAAATTTGATGACCTTAACTTAACCCTATTAGTGGCAGGCTCCTGGCTACCCCCTATTAGTGGCAGGGGGGGGGGCTGTTTACGACCCCCCCTTGATATCTCGAGATCTAACGGGCCGATTTTCAAAATTCAAACGGCATTCGATTTCGCTCAACGTAATCTACATTTCTAAAAAAATAAAAAAAAAAAAATGTCAATAGGGGGGTAGAGGGGGGTAAAAACGGGCAAATTGCAGATACATTTTAGACTGTTTATCACGGCCAGGTTTCTGAACCAATCTTAACGCAACTTTTGCCGATCGATAGAGAATGAACCAGGAATTCACATGGATCCTAAAAATATGCATTTTCAAAAATCATAGGCGGATACAGATCATTGAGATTGGGGGTACACAAAAAGTATAGTAAATAAGGTTTTTGTTGGTACTGTTTCTAAAAAGGGTGGTAATGGTCTTGTTATGTTATAATTTTCTTATGAGAGAACGACTAAAATTGTATTGGTAACGCATAGGCGGTGTCAGGGCACCTATGTTGGGAGGTAAAACATAACCCCCCTTTTTGGACGCCTGGATCCGCCTATTATAGCAAAAACGTGTCAAAAGAGGATGCACAATAACTGTATATGTTATCACATGATACCTTTTATTCACTGTTCGTAAAACTGGTGCAGCATCGTGATCTTCGCCCAAATGACTCGCTTCACGAATAGGACCCCCCAATTCCCAGTGCTCTGGAGCCGCCCCTGGTAAAGTTATGAACTTGAAATTTTCAGGGAATGTGCCCAATTTAGTTTTAGGAAAAGTCAGAAAATTTCAGCATCGTAGCTTCAGCGGTTTCGGAGATATTCCCGAAAAACCTGAGGGGTGGATAAAAACACCCCCCCCCCCCTGCCACTAATAGGGTTAACTTAGTGGCCTTTGACCTGTAACCTGTTATATTTGACCCCTGCTGCCTGCAAGAATGTTATAATCGTCCCCGTCGCGCAGTGACATTTTTTACAAAACTGGCGCCAAAAGATGTTGTATGGACAGCATCTAATGCTTTCAATTTACGGAGAAAAAGCCTGTTACGCTTACACAAAGTCTGAAGTCGTTATCTTTTCAATTGCGGGCTGCAGGAATGAGCTTATCAAATATAACGGCATAGAAATTTACTAAGCTCATTCAATTGGCAGGTTTATGAATTATAAACACTGTTACGAGTACAATTGTCCATTGTTACATGTGACCCCACTCTCCCCTACAGTAAGATCGACTGATCATTTTCATTATTTCAGAATTTAAAGAAGCCTGTAAAACATGGAGGACATGAAAGTGATTGATGGCTCAATCATGGAAGGGGTAAGTTTCTCATGTTATGTGTTTCCTTATAAATACAGTAAAATCAGCAATCATTGCGCTTGAAACACCTTCTGTGTACCATATTAGTAAGAAGCCTTGCAGAATGCAGGGCAATAAGTGACCAACAAGTTAGCAGGAATGCAAGTCCTGATTTGCAAGTGAGAAGTGATACCCCATCTGGCCTGTGTGGTATCAAATTTCAGCACAATTGGCCCAGCTGTCCTCTGGGATGCTGCCTCCTCTCCTCAATCCTGCTCATGTGCATATGGAAATGGGGCCGGCGGTGATGAGATTAGCAGATGAGACCATGCTCTGAAACTACTGGGCGAAATTAGATAGGTAACTCCTTCACCATTTGATAGCAGGGAACTAGGACAAATGCCGTTTTTATATTTTGGTGATTGTATCACTCTGAGTGGACCAATCGGACCAAATTGGTCCAGAAACACAAGCGCCCTGAAAGCAGACGAGCCCATTCTCCGAAACGACTGGACTGATTTTGATGGAACATTCACCATTCGTTTTCCGTATTCTGAAACGGTGCTGTTTTTGATATTTTACGATTGGTCCGCCTTAAGTGGTCCAAATGGGTTTAAAACCCCTAGAAACCATTGCAGACGAGCCCATGCTCCTAAGCTACTGGACTGATTTCAATGAAGCCTTCACCATTCGACGTCGGTGCTGCAGAAATCTATCCAAACTCGTACTAAGTTCAAACGGTTTTAGAGGTTTAGGGCCGATTTGGACCAATTAGGGTGGACCAATAAAGAATTATAACATAACGGCACCGTTTCAGAACACGGCGCGTCCAATGGCGAAGGTTTCATCGAAATTGGTCCAGTAATATCGGAGCATGGACTCGTCTGCAACGGTTTTATGGGTTTCGGACCGATTTGGACCACTTAGGGTGGACCAATCGAAAAATATCATTACGGCACCGCTTTAGAATACGGCACGTCGATGGTGATGGTTTCATCGTAATCGGTCCAGTAGTTTCGGAATATGTGCTCGTCTGCAACGGTTTTTAGGGGTTTGGACTGTTTTGGAGTCATACCGCTTGGGGTAGACCAATCGAAATATCAAAAACAGCACTTTACCTCATACCTGGCTGATCATTAGTGTTTGTGGTTGTTTGCAGGGTGGGCAGGTGCTGCGGATGGCAGTGTCTTTGAGCTGTCTGCTAGAGAAGCCCATCAAGATCACCAACATCAGGGGAGGCAGATCGAAGCCAGGACTGAAGGGTCAGCATTTGGCAGGTGAGTGTTAGCTTCCAGTGAACCTTCTGTATCCCGGTCTGTCGGATAATGGCAGCTCAAACCTGTGACTGATCAGATTTAGTTCGTCCTGTAGCTTGTCTGGTCCCTCCTGGGACCTGGGTACTGGTAATTACTGGTTAGCACCCGAGTTTGACGATACGTCAAACTCGATAACGATGGTAAGATGTGTGGTGTGCGAATACTGGGATGGATGTGGAAGCGAGTAGCTACCACTTCATTTGATGTCATTATGTGGGCGAGATCTTGTGGCTGTCAACTATTTGGGCTTGCTAAACGTTTGCTGGCTTAGTAAGTAGTCCATTGAAAACATTGAAACTGAATTTATAAAAGAATAAATATAATTAACTATGTGTGGCTGTCAAGTCTTTAGACCGCGTATTTTCTATAAAAGGTTCTGGCTGTTATAACCGATGACTAAGTTTGCTGCTCCACATGAAATGTCCCTCAGTAACTCTGCTGCGGTGACCGCCAGGTTTGCGGCTGGTGTCGGAAATGTGCTCCGGTCGGCTGACTGGAGACGCCATCGATTCGACGGAGATCACGTTCCGCCCGGGCCGGGTCACGGGGGGCAGCTACTCGGCCGAGACAGGCACCGCTGGGTACGTAGGTACTTAGACGGCCGAGACGGGACCGAGACCGCCGCGTATGCCTTTAATGCCTGTCATCACCCCGTCTGGTCCCTCGGTGCCCAAGCACATTTGATGCCGGAGCCCGGAAGTAGTATAACTAGTCCAATAATAATAAATGATGGCCTATAGATAGGCTACTTTTGTCAGTTTTTGTGATTTCATTAATGTCCTGATCAAGTCGCCTTAATGGCGCCTTCATGTCCAACTGAGACAAAGCTGAGTTGCCAAACCTGCTATTTTGCATTTGAAGTGATGTCGAAAGGATGGTCTTTTTTATAATAAGGAACTTTGATGGAGAGGCTTTGGTGAGCCGGTTGCGTCTAGAACATGTCCTCATCCCAAGCTACTCTGCCTGTCCTGTCTTCACCTCCCCGTTTTCACGCCTCCCCGCCACCTTCTCCGGCAGGAGTGTCGGCCTCCTGCTCCAGGTCAGTCTGCCGTGCGCCATGTTCGCCTCAGCGCCGACGCGTCTGACGCTGCGCGGCGGCACAAACGCCGCCTTTGCGCCACAGATCGACTACACGCTGAATGTGTTCCGTCCGCTGCTGGAGCGTTTCGGCGGCAATCTGCAGTGTGACGTGAGGCGCAGGTGTGTGTGACGTCAGACACAGGCGTGTGATGTCAGACATATGGCCATTGGATGTTATCTGGGGAGGGATGTTGAGCCAATGTTGGTGTTCGTTGGCCAGCTGTGGATGCTGAACTGAATGGCATCGGTAAACGTCTTGGGGCAGGAATAGTGATTTCGTTGTCGTTATTAAATGCTCTTCACTGGCAGCGTAATTTAGCGTAGGTTAACTGGGTAGTAGGTTTTGTAGCCATGTGTAAAAATTACCAATAATGGTCCATAGAAGAAAATTATTCATTAAATGTCCTGTCTGGGCAAAATTTTAGTTCTAACCGGAAGTCATCGGACAGTTAATAGATCACTCGTGATCCTTACCTAGAAGCGACTGAATTCCACTGTGCGCTTTGCTGGCAGATATGTTCGTTGACCCCCCCCCCCCCCCCCCCAGCTGACTGACGTGTTATTGACGTCGCAGGGGCTATTTTCCGCGCGGCGGCGGCCTGGTCGAGGCCTCGGTCAGCCCCGTCACCCAGCTGCGCCCCCTCGAGCTGCTGGATCAGGGACGGCTGGTCGGCGTCACTGGAGCAGCCTTCGTCGCCGGAAAGCTGCCGCTGAGGGTAGGTGGTGACAGCGGCACCGGGGTGTGAGGGTGGGCCAGCATTGGTCCGAGGCATGGGGTGTATATTCGCGAGTGTATTGCGACTCGCGTTAAATGGGAGGACATTTTTGAATTACTCCTGTCGCCTGTAAAAGACCTTGACGTTGAGTTTTCATGTTTTTTTTTCCGTAAGGGTGACACATGTTCTCTATGCTAAGCACTCCTGAGCTCCCATTCTTACATGCCTCCTCGCTTTCTTAGTTTCTTCTCAGCCGAATCCGGGAAATCTGTGCAGTTTCAGTGCAGAAACCGTTTATTATTTAGGGGTGCGGAGCCGGAGCCGGAGCCGCCGGAGCCGGCATATTTTGCCCGGAGCCGGAGCCGGAGCCGTCAAAAAAGGCCGACTCCGGCTCTTTTTTTTTGAAGAGGAAAAATTTATTGGCCTAGTTCGGTTTGACTGAAGGCAGTAAAACATGTGGTATTCAAAATATGAAAATAGCTTAGGCCCTAAAAACAAAAATAGCCTTGTTATGCAGATACAGAAGCAACGTGTACCAATCCCATCGTCTTGTTTCTTCCACCCGTATTTAATTGCATAGGGGATGTACTGAGTACTGGAGCCGGAGCCGCCGGAGCTGGACCATTTTACTCGGAGCCGGAGCCGCCATGGCATTTCACCCGGAGCCGGAGCCGGAGCCGATTTTTTTTATCCGGAGCCGTCTGAAATTTCCACCGCATCTCTGATATTACCTGCTTACAGTTTTGTTGTCCGCAGTTTCACGGTTCATCACATGATGAGAGTATAAAACCTGGTATCGCTCAATATTACTAATAGTAGCGATACGATAATTAGTTTACCGTCCTTGCAAAGCACCGGCTATCAATAAATTAGAGTTTCTGTTAGTCACCGTTAGCCGGATGACGCAACAGTGTTATCATCACCTGCCGGCAGTCATGGGACGGGTAAATTAATTATGTCGGGAGGTGCCAGCGCTCGGGGGCTCATATGGGGCCAGTGTTGATGACGCGATCTGTCTTTTGGGCACATCAGACAGCCTGCGGCGGATGTGCTTAGTGCCGGTGGTCTGTGCACTTGTAGCGGCCAGTGTGTGCCGTCCCGCGGTCGTATCGCTAACCTCTAGTTCCCCTGTGGTCCGGCAGGTGGCGGAGAGCGTGGCGGCGGCGGCGCGGCGCCGGCTGCGGGCCGCGCTGCCCTCCGTGCCGGTGCGGGTGGAGGCCGTGCGGGACCCGGAGGGCGCCGGCCCGGCCTCTGGCCTGAACCTGGTGGCCGAGACGGACACGGGCTGTCGGCTGGGCGGCTCGGCGCTGGGCGGCCGCGGCGCCACCGATGACCAGGTGGCCGCCACGGCCACCGATGAGCTGCTGCGAGCCGTCTCCGCCGGCGCCTGCGTCGACCAGTACTGCCAGGACCAGGTACCGTGGGATGCTCGGATGGGGGAGGGTGATGCTGTCCTCGGCTGTCCACTACTGTCCGCAGTGTCCGCCGGCTCACTCTTCGGACTCGCGGACAGAGAGCGTGCCAGCTGACAGTAAAACCCTCACAGGTGCGTTAAAATGGTTTTAGTCATTCGCTGCTGCTTCAGCGGCTTTGCTGCTCCAGCCAGCTGTATCCAGTGAACTCTGATCGTTCCCGAGGGTCAACAGACACCGATGAGTGGCATTGACACTGGATTCACGGCCGATCAATGCTGATCAATCTCTCAGTCGTACGGACTCTAGGGCGGGTCACGCAAAGGTTAGGTGCACCGGCATTGCCTAATGCTATTCCTCCGTCTCAGTCCGGTCCAGCTCCCCCGCCAGTTGGTGTGAGTGGTCCTGGTTTGGTTTGGTCCGGGCCTGGGTCTAGTCTGGTCTGCTCCAGATCTGCTGGGAGTTGGGACGTTTGGAAATCGTAGGTTCCCCAGCTTTACGTTGCATACTGCTATCGCCAGATATGAACCACGCCGGGTTATTGGATTAATGGGTATTTGAATAAGCTCATTGCCGCGAGACTCCATAGAAGGTGTTGTGTCTGCAACATTAAACAAAAGTGCCGGATCTTTCCAATCAAGAAAAAACGGAAACGCAAGCAAACATTTCATTCATTCGTCGAGCCAAAGCAATAACAATACCACAATGAACCAAGTTTTGAGCCAAATTTCAAATTCCTTTTTCCCCAGTTATCATTTCTTCACATTCTTCATCAGTGTAACACATTTCATTTTTCATGCGCCTTTTGTCTCGCGCCATCGTTCTAATATGGACTTTGTTCGGACAGAACATCCTCCCCCCTCCACGCGCACGCGCGCGTGAGACGCCGGTATCACTGGACACCGTCAGCAGTTATCTCGCCTCCTCGAGAAGGCATATCTTGGTGGCCGGTCGGTGCACTGTACCACCACGAGCGCGCAGACGAGCTGACCTCACCCGGCCGTCAGGGCCGGGCATCACTTCGATCACTCTGCCGAGGGGCCACTGACCCCGCGGCACGTTATCTTCTGCGATCAAAACCAGGTCGCCGGGCGCCAAGTTCCGCATGTCTCTTGTCCACTTGCGGCGACAGGTCAGGCTGGGGACATATTCCTTCAGCCATCTGGTCCAGAACTGGTCTGTCAGAGCTTGTGTTTGTCGCCAGATCCTCCTGCTCGCAGACTCGCCGTTGTCGAAGACGCCAGGTGGCAGACAAGTTACCCGTCGGCCGAGCAGAAGATGGTTCGGCGTAATCGCCTCCAAATCATCCACTTCTGTGGACACATGGGTCAGAGGTCGACCGTTGACCACCGCCTCAACTTCTGTCAGCACGGTCTGTAGCGCTTCGTCCGTGACAGTCAGCTGGCTCAGCACTGCTCTCAGAGCACGCTTAACGGAGGATATTAGCCGCTCCCAGGCGCCTCCCATGTGACACGCACCTGGCGGGTTAAAATGCCACTTAATGCCATCTTGTGCGAGGCGGTCACTGATGGCGTGGACGTTCCATGCTTGGATCTGCCGACGCATCTCCCTCTCTCCTGCTCGCAGATTCGTCCCGTTATCAGAGAACACCTCTTTCGGTCTGCCTCGCCTTGAGACGAATCTGCGGAACGCCATGAGGAAGCTGTCGGTGCTGAGCGAGTGGCACAGCTCGAGGTGCACTGCCCGGGTGGCGAGGCACGTCACCAACAGTCCGTACCTCTTCTCATGCCGTCCTCCCGTCTTGACGAGCATAGGACCAAAAAAATCGAGACCGACGCTGCTGAACACGTGCCGCGTGTCGAACCGCGCCTGGGGCAGATCTGCCATCTTCGGCTGGCACGGTTTTGCGCGGCGCCGGCGACACACCGGACAGCTGTGCAGGACTCTCCTCACCATTGCTCTCCCTCTGGGTATCCAGAACAGCTGTCGCAGATCGTTCAGTGTCTGCTCGACTCCGGCGTGCAGTAGCTTCTGGTGGACGTCCTTCACGATCAGAGCTGTCACGCGGCTGTCCCGCGGCAGGATGACCGGATGGCGGGCGGACTCAGGCAGAGGGGCGTTCACCAGCCGCCCACCGACTCGAAGCAGGCCGTCTTCATCAAGAACTGGAGAGAGCATAAGTAGACAGCTACTCGTGCTGATGGACCTTCCGCTTCTCAGCGCTGCAAGCTCTTGAGTGAACGCCCCACGCTGCACCTCCCGAATGACAAGATTCTGCGCGTCTTGCAGCTCATCAGCCGACAGTGGACCACTTCTCAAGTCGTTCTGGCGATCTTCGAACGAGTGAGATGCCACGAAGTTGATCAGGAATCGCTGCGTCCAGCCGACTACACGCCTGTAGCGCAGCCAGCTTGAGAATCGCTCTGGGTCAGGAATGACCGCGGTTGTCTCTCTGGCTTTGTGTTGAGTAGCTAACACCACTCTAACTTCAGGATCCTCATCAGGTAGCTTATGCTGCTCACTACCAGCCGGCCAGCAGGTTTCTGGCCTCCACAGGAAATCGGGCCCACGGATCCAGCGGCTGTCCTTAGTGAGCGCAGAGGCCGTTAGCCCGCGAGAGCAGTCATCAGCTGGGTTGACCTCACCAGGAACGTGTCGCCACTGGCTGGGCTCGGTCAAGTCACGGATTTCAGCAATCCGGTTTGCCACAAATGTGTGGAATCTCTTGCTGTCGTTGGCTATGTAGCTCAAAACCACCTGGCTGTCACTCCAAAACACCACCCGGTGCACCTCTTCAGTGAGCTCTTGGACAACCGACGCTGCCAGACGCACAGCCAGCACGGCTGCCTGAGTTTCCAGGCGTACGATAGATAGTTTCTTGAGCGGTGCGACTCTGCATTTGCCCATGACAAACGCACAGTGAATGGTTCCGTCTGAGTACTCGTGACGCAGGTACGCCACGGCTCCAAAAGCCTTTTCAGATCCGTCACAGAAGACGTGGAGATCTCTTCTCAGAGGGGCTTCTTCCTGAACGCCATACCATCGTGGCAGCTTGGTGTCACTCAGCCGGGGCAGCTCCTCCATCCATGCCGCCCATCGATCAGATTCCTCTGTGGTGAGTGGGTCATCCCAGCCCTGCTGGCAAGACCAGAGTGCTTGCAGCTGCAGTTTGGCTAGAAGCACAAACGGCGAGGTGAATCCGAGTGGGTCAAAAATAGACGCCACGACGCGCAGTATTTCTCGCTTCGTTGCCGGCTGCCGCACATTAGCCAGCTCACTGGGCGCCGTGCTGCTAAGCTCATCCTGCTCGGCATCCCAGGTGACACCCAACACCTTCTCAGTTGGCAGTGTCTTCTCTAAGTCAGCTGTACTGGGAGCCCGCTCCTGCACAGGAATTCCGACGAGGACAGACTTATCATTGCTGAGCCATTTTCGCAGCCGGAACCCGCCTCTTGAAATCAGCTTTGTCACCTCGATTACGATAGTTTTCGCCTGGGCGGGGCTGTTGACTGAAGTTACCATGTCGTCCATGTAGAAGTCTTCTACCACGATGGCTGCTGCTTTACGACCCTCGGGAGTGTCTTCAGCCCTCTCTTCTGCGGTCTTCTTCAATACGAAACTCGCTGAGGCGGGTGACGAGCGAGCTCCGAAGATGACCCGGTCCATTTGATAGGTGCTCGGGGGTCTGTCTGTCTCTAGATCCCGCCACAGGAACCGGAGTGCCGGCTGATCCTCTTCTCGGACCGCCACCTGCAGGAACATCTGCTCAATATCGGCGATAAGAGCCACTGGCTGCTGGCGGAAGCGAAGCAGCACTCCTGGGATTTGTTTCAGCAGGTCTGGGCCCGTTAGCAAATTCTCGTTGAGAGATGTGCCTGCAAACTTCGCCGCTGCGTCAAACACCACCCGGAATTTACCAGGTTTGCTCGCGCTGGTTACCGCGTGGTGCGGCAAATACCAGCACCTCTGATGATGCTTCTGTAGTTCCTCTTCGGTCAGCAGACGGGCGTAGCCTTTATCCAGATACTCTCTCATAGTGTCGCGGTAAGCTGCAGCCTTTTCTGGTGCTCGTCGGAGCGCCTTCTCCGTAGATTCGAGGCGGCGCAGGGCCATGCTACGGTCATTGGGCAGGGGGGCGCAATCAGGTTTCCACAGAAGGCCGGTTTCATACCTGTCACCTCTCCACTTGGTGGTGGACTCCATCATCTCTTCCGCCAGTCGATCTTCATGAGAGCGAGGCTGCTTCATATTGTACCTTGTTCCAAAAGCCTCGGTAGACCAGAAGTCTCTCACTAGAGCTTGCAGCTTCTCTTCGCCTTCACAGCGGTGGGCCACATGCAGCACTTCTCGGGAGCCGACCGGTAGAAGCTGTGCCACGCTGCCCGTCAGACACCACCCAAAATACGTCCGGATGGCTGCCGGCTGGCCTGGCCCACCTACTCGGGCCTCCCGCTGGAGAATCGCCTCCAGCACATTAGCACCTAAGAGTAATTCAATCTTCCGTCCGTTGGTGTCTGGAATCGAGATGCCTTCCAGGTGTTTCCACTGAGCCCTTTTTGACCAATCGACTCTCTGCGGCCGGATATTGAGCTGGGGAACGGAGAAGACTTCGGGCACCTTTACAGGCTCACATTGCCCGTCTGCCGACAGCGGAGCCACCTGCAGTGACACCTTCATTGTAGGCCGGGTCATGCCGGTACCCTCAACGTTACCGAGCGTGAGCTTCTCCGTCGACCCAGTCACCGACAGATCCCGAAGCACGCTCTCAATGCATAATGATGTGTCCGCTCCCGAGTCGAGCAGCGCGTGCGTGTCGACGAACTTCCCAGCTGGGCCGAGTACTCTCACGGGAACCACTTGCAGCAGTGCTTTACGTGGCCCGCTCGTTGCATCCAAGGCTGTCGCCATCACACTTCTCGGCTGGTCAGCAGCTAGTGCTGGAGCATCCTGCTCCTCTGAGCGCCGACTCGAGTGATCGGGCACATGCAGCAGTGGGTGATGCTTCCCACGACAGCCGTTCTCTCCACAGATCAACTTCTTTCGACACCGGCTGGCCCAGTGTGACTCGCCGAGACAGCGATAACAGCGTCTGTTGTCACGCGCGAGCTGCAGGCGGTCGACTGGCGCCATGGCTTTGAAAACTGGACAGCAATCCA